TTCTCTAGGACGACGGGCGGGGTGGCGAAGCCCGCAGTCTTGGTCCTGAGAGCTGATATCCGTTTGCAAGCTGCCCCTCGCTTCAGAGAGAACCCGCTCATACAGACAAACTACCTCACAGCCAAAGGCGAGGACCAAATCGACCTAATTCCGATACAAGATTCCCTGCGGAACGAACGAATGAATGCATACAAATCACTTCCTGTAAAGTCCAGCGGAGTAGTGGCCATGGGAGTTACCCCCAAGGGTTACCCTTACCCCGCAGATGTCGCTGTTAAGAGCTTCTCTCTTAAAACAGTACATTCGGTATTCTCGAATCCCAGCCTCTTCCAGTTTTCCAGAAGTAATCCAAACTGAATAAAGGCGGTTTTGAGAGTCGACAGGTGTGCATGTTCTTTTGGATGCGACCGTATCCTGTTATGGCAGCAATTCTATACTCACTTACCTAGGAGTAGTTCCCATTGAGCTCAGTGGGAGTTAATTCTGAGCAGGCAGGGTATTGCACTGTAAGGGACCAAGTGACTATTTGCTAATTGGAAGTGTGTGTGTGTGTGTGCGCGCGCGCGCGCGCGCGCGCGTGCGAGAGCAAGTGAGCGAGCGAGCAAGAGCGCTGCTGATAACGGTAATCCCATCGCCATGTTCTTGTGGTCGTGCCTGTAATTACTTACTGTTGCTATATGGCTGGGCAGCTCTATTTCCAGAATTCTTTGGTGTGTGGCTCTTCCTGTCCTTTAATTCTTATTTCCAAATGGAGGAGAGGAAAGACAGAATTAAGTTCGCGGAGTGGTTGGGGAGCCCCAGTGCTGCTTTGTCGGAGATTTCCCCAGGAGCCGATTTTTCAGAGACTCGGGACGGGGTGCCCAGGACGAGCGGAGTCTCTGATTTGGAAGGTAACGTGGGAGTTCCCCTCGCAGGCCGGCAAAAGAAAGTTGCGAACCATCGCGACAAATGGCCTGTCTTAGGGGGGGCCCTGGGGACAAGATACGCGGACAGCAGCTACTGAACTCTCCCATGACAGATCAACCCACAAAGGTGTGGGTAAGTTCTTCTCTAAACCTGTTGCTGCCAGGCCATCCCGACCTGTGTCTTTCAGAGTGGCCGTGAAGGAAGTATTCATGAAGCACTGAAGTAGAGGCCACTTTCCCCATCATTAGAGTCCTGTGCCGGGAGAAGCTACCCCGGATACACCCCTCTCCCAGCTAAAACTCAAAAGATAAAGGGCCCCTCGTGGCGCGTGCGCCAGGAAATTTCATTCCGAACAATCGCTTACTAGTGCGTGTGTTTTTATGTTTTAGAAAACACCCCCACTCCTCCCTTGCTATGATTCATTTTTATTTACTCGCCTTCTCTGCTGTTTAGTATCAAAGCTTGCCACTTTTGGCCGTTGCAAGCTGGAGCAGATTCAGCTGTCTCGTCCAGCTCCATGGGAGTTGCGCTTTATTACGTCACATTGTGTGTTCATGACGCAATGGCAATTGCAGAATGCAAGCGGAAGGTGGGCTTCAACTGGAAGCCGAAGGGCAAAGCAGGGATGTCCGAACTTCCTTGCTCCCGAACTATTCCTATTGTGTGTTCAATTAAAACACCCTGGTTAGGATAACTTCCTTGGAATCGAGATTTGTGGAAAATCCGTATGAGCAACGGGAAATCGAGCGTTATAACAAGACGAGGGTTGGAATCTGTGGACAATCTAGTTGTCTCCTATTTTATTTGGCCCGGTAGAGTTGGAAATGAGATTTGAAAATGGGTGTTCTGTACGTTCTTTCTCCCATTCTCAGTCATTAACCCGAGTCTATTGTGCTCTTCTTTCTTCCTCTGCGTTCAAACGCGCTGTCTTTGATTTCAAGTTGAGGAAGAAGGTCCCACGCCGTCAGGTGCCCCCTTTGCCTGTTCCGCTGACAGGTAGGTGACCCTCCCCTCGCAGAACAGGGGAGAAGCACTTGAGGAGAAGACCCAGTGACTCTAAAATGATCCAGCTCCAGTAAAAATCCCCCAGTATAACCCTCTTAAAACGCACACAGATAACACCAGCCAGCTAGTTTTGAAAATAGTGCACGATATGAATAATCCAAGAAGGCACCGCGTATAAGAATGCTCTTAATCCGCATTAGTCGTCAGCTAAAACGTCCCAACCACTACGAGGAACTAACAGTCGACTGGTTTAAAGTGTTAAAAGAGGGCTGGTTTCTCCCAGACCTCTAATGCATGCATCTGTAAAGAAAAGCAAATCTAATCTTCTAGGAATACAGGAGCAAGGACTGATCGCTATGATGATCTGGACGAGTGCAGAATAGAAGGAAAGGGTCTAGTTCGTGCAACCTGAGCTGAAACTGGCACAAACGCGCCCGCGCTGCTCCGGTGGAATTCGGGGGCCGCGCTGACCCGAACAGGCTCAGGGCTGGCTATGGCCGTTCTCCGCAGGGCCTCCCGGAGAACGTGTAACTTTTTTGGGAACATCGCCCTGCCATCCGCCCTCCCCACCCAGTTCTTGATCCAGCAGTCTCTAGGGAATCCGGGCCACTGCGGGATTTTTTTTTTTGGTTTTCATAGAACGGCATGAAATTCCTCCAGACATCAGTAGGGGGCGCACTGGCGGGCAACTGGGCGAAGATGACGCGGTTGCTGCTTAAAATCTAGCCGCACGTGGGGGAAAATACGTGAAGGGGAAAAGAAAAATGAGGTCTCCGAGCATCCTTCTCACAGTTCGCCATTAATTTGGAAGGGAAAGGGGCTTGATGATAGCTGAGGGAGCACGACCTGGATCCAGGCATCTCTCCACGATGCTGAATAGAGGACTAATGGAGAAGCGGCGTACGCTTCCGCCCCTCCACTTTTCCGAAGAAATCTTTTTGCCGAGGCAAATTTGGGATCGCACGCATGCCTCAGCACACGCTCGCACACACGCACGTTTCAGCAGCTCAGCCCCCCCCCCGGTCACCCGCACGGAGCATCTCCCAGGCTCCGAAGGAAGGACGATGGCGGACCCGCCCCCCCCCGCCCCCCATCCTTAAATTAATACGTTTCCCCTCAGACGTGCGCTTGCAGAACTATTCTGCGTGGATTGGGCTGCATCGCCTTCCCCCTCCATACGCTCACACACGCCTTCGTGCAACCTCCCCTCGCCCTCGCCCGCCCCGATCTGGAAAACGGCGGCGCTGGAGGTGTTTCCACAAGAGGGGCAGTCATGGCTCTCTGCTTCTGTGTGTGACGGATGAACTGCGAAATATTCCTCTCGCATTGCCGCAGGGCTAATAAAAGAGTGACCCCACGTCCCATCGCGACGGGCCACTGCCTTAAGCTTGTCCCTCGCCAAAACATACGAAGGACTCCCTCGTCAGGACACAAGGCACGCCAAGGAGACTCCGAAAGGTGCAGGACGCCCCAGGGCAAATATTCCCTGCTGCAGGTTCACCTAATAAAAACTCGTAGCCTTTCAACTTTGCGCCTAGTTGGGCTCCGCTTAGGGAGAGGTACCCCAGCATCCTGACACTTTCCCTCGAAGATGTTAGAGTATGATGGTTCTGAGTCCGGCGACCATCTGGCTCTACCTTAGCTTCCAAAACATCCCCACCCCCATTGCCCGTACACCTGGTGTGACGACTGCCCTGGAGAAATGGCCACACACGTCCTTCGCCCCTGAGAATAACACCTTGCTCGTTTATGAGACGACCTCCGCAATCTCGTAGCGAGAGGAAGTCGCCGCCCCCCGCCCTGCCCTGCCCTGCCCCCCGCAGTCATTCCGGATCCGGGCTGCGGACGCCTGCTTTCCAGGCACCTGATTTCAAGACCTTCTGCCGTTGTCCTCAGTTCTCTCGTCTTCCCCGCAGTTCTGATTCCTCCATCGATCAACAGCTGGTTGTTCCCATTGCCTGCCCGTAGCGGCTTCAGGCATCTATCTCACTCCGAGGAACAAGGGAACTTTAACGCGACCTCCCCTCGTCGGCATCCTTCCCGTTCACTACCATCTCCCTCTCTTCTACCACGCTGCCTGTCTAACTAATGCCACTTCCCGCCGCTACTTCTTTTTCATCTGGAACAAATAATAGGCTCCCAACCAGGTGAATTATTCGAAGATACAGCCTTGACTTCACAGAGCCTGGAAGTATTTGCTGACCACCTTTAAGAGGGTGGTCGTGTGGTCTTCTCCAGCCCTCCCTCCCTCCCTCACCCACGCGGGATAATTGGCATTCAGGGTCCAAGAACTTGAACCCCTTCATTCCTCAAAAGAGAAGCTGTTTTCTAGCCTGTCCAAGGGGCTAGACGACGGATCTTCCCACAGTTCCCCCAGCCCAATGGGGGTTTTTAGTCTCACCCACGTTGCCCATCTCTGCCAGTAAGAGTCGCAGGTCTCCTGTAATCTAAGCACTCGCCCATAATTTGCAAGGCTCATTTCCCTGGGCAGAACCATTCTGCAGAATAAAACAGAACGCCCCTTTACGCTCCCACGGAACGCTGCGGATGGCCCTCGCTTCTGCTGCCGCCGCAACTCCGAAGCGCCCCCGATTTGGGTGGTGCCGTGTTGGTTAACTTCTCCCGCTAGGGCCCCGACGTTGGAGCGCAAGCCCGGGATCCTCAGCTGCATACCAAGTTGCCTCCCGGGATTGCGCCAGACTAAGGAAGGGGTGACGGAGGGTGCCCGCGGCAGCTCCTAGCCAGGAGACCCATCTTGCATCCTAGAGCTGTTTGCACGGATGGACCTCTACACGTTAGAGTGGGGGAGAATAGTTCGTTGAGCAGTGGAGCAGCTCCCTCTACACACACAAACACGCGCGCGCGCGCGCCTGCAATGGGGGAGGGGTGTAAATCCAAGCCCATCTCGCCCGCCTCCCCAGCGTTGCCCCCTCCTCCCTGCCCCACCCACTCGTGCGGACTGAGCCAATCCTCTGGTCTCCATTCATTTTGACAGGCAGCGAAGTCCCGCCCCTTCTGACGTTTCTGGGAGGATTTGCATGAGTTGCGCCGCTGTGAGAGGCTGGAGTTCAGTTGTCTGGAAAAGCGAAGCGAGCGGAGAGGGAGAGCCGCTTGCCATCCATCCCTCCAGACGCGAAGCCCCCCGCTTCCCCCGCCCGAGTGCACCCCCTCCAGAAATAAATTAAAATGGAGCTGCCGGCGGTGGGAGAGCATGTCTTCGCCGTGGAGAGCATCGAAAAGAAGCGTATTCGGAAGGTGAGCGAGTGGCGCTTCTTGAAGCTCAAGGGTGGAGGAGGGAGGGCTGTGAGTCTGGGGCAGGCGGTGGAAGATCTTGCTAGAGCCTGACGCCTTTTCCCCCCCGCTCTCCTTGCAGGGCCGAGTGGAGTATCTCGTCAAATGGAGAGGTTGGTCCTCCAAGTAAGTCCCGGGAAGGGAACGGGGCGCGAGGCACCGAGGTGCGGCTGCCCTGTCTTTAGCGCGGGCTGCAGAGCCTGACGGTGTCCCTGCTAACGCTTTGCCCTGCTCCGGCAAATCCGGAAAATGCCTTGATTTTAACGCATGCACAAAAAAGAGGGGCGGGGGAGGGGGAGGAGGAATGGGGAGGCTGCATAGAAAGACAAGGTCGTGGGGTGCACAGCCAGCAAGCTTCAGAGAAGGAAGGCAAGGCGGCGACTGATGATCAGTAGTTGCAGAAAATGGCTCCTTTCCCTTGGAAAGCAGGCTCCATATTGCAGAACCGAGCAACCCAGAGATCAGCCGGAGGGCGGCGGGTTGGTTGGGGGAAGGAGGAAAGGGGGGGAAGTCTGCATAATTAAAAAAATAAAAATCCATAGACCGCTTTAAATCCCCGGAATCCAGTCCGGGATGGGAAGAGCCGTGGAAGGCAAGCACTGTCACCACCAGCAACCCGCTGCCCTGCTGGCAGGGAAGCGAGGCTGCAAATTTAACTTCACCGATTCTCCATACTGCTGCTACTTCTGGATCGAAGGAGAGATCCATGAGCGGCCCGGCTCTGCAGGGGTCTCGATGGCAAAGCCGACTGAAGAGGGCGAAGGGCTTGCTTGCATGCAGAGATGGCGGTCGAGGTTGGGGGGGGGAGGCTAATTGCGGTGGGTGGGTTTGCTGGTAGCTCTGCAGGGGGGATGGGGGGGCTTTGCGAACCTTTCACGCTGGCATGGATGGAATTCCTCCGGAATTATAATTGCGCTAAACAAACAGATTTTCTTGGTGTCCAACCCCCCGCCCCTTTTTGCCCATCCCCCTTCGCTGGGCAGCGGCAGTCCAGAATGCGCACTTTGAAATGGGTCGCCTGTCTCTAAAATGGCCCCCACACAAGCTCGCTAGCGGGGGGGGGGAATCAGAGGTCGGGGACGGCAAACGACAGTTACTGCTTCATAAGCGTTGTTGTTTCACTGCACCCTCGTTCCTTTTCTTTGCAAGATACAACACTTGGGAGCCGGAGGAAAACATCCTGGATCCTAGGTTACTAATCGCCTTTCAGAACAGGTGAGAGTTTACAGTAGCAAACCGGGCTGCACATATCTGTGCCCATGGAAGGGGTGTGTGAGACAGGGTGGGGGAGATCTGGAGGCAGTCGCCGCTGCGCCGGGCTGAAACCCTCGCATGGGAGGCGGGTACGATTTTGGCTGCTGCTGCTCGAATGCCTTGTTCGGCCGCCGCGTGCTTGGAGCACCTTTCTCCCGCAGCGGGTCGCAGAGAGCGTGGCAGTCTTGTGCAAGCGACGCTGTGCGTTACGGAATCTCACTTTAACCCCCTCGCCGCGGCGCCGAGGGGACTTCCTTTCCAGCGAGGAGTTGCCTGGCTGGCTTGTTGCAAGGTGGTGCTTGCACGTGACGGAAGGGAGCGGCGGCGGCCGCTCTTGCGTTTGCTTCTGCTGCGCTTGACAGTTTCTGCAAGCCTCTCTTGGAGGGATTACGCGGCTGCAAAACTACGCCAAAAGGCCCTCCCCGCCATGCCCACGTTTTTAACGGACGGCGAATGTTTCCTTGCGATTCGCGAGCGGCAAGCGTTTGCTGCTTGCGAACACACATGCGCTTGCACCTGCAAACAATGTAGCCCCGATTACAGCCTGAGGCGAGCCTAGCGGGGAATGCTGTCTATTCCTGTACGGTCTTGTGCGGCGCTGGCTCCTTGGCAGGACCTCCCCGCCTGTTCGCTCGGGCCCGGCTTCTTGCAGCGGTTGGCGCACTCTGAGGTGTGAACGCGAGGTGGCCGCCAGGGAGGCGCGCGGGTCGCCCTCCCCGCTGCTCCCGGAAAGTGCCCGCGCCTGGCGCCTGCTGCTGCGGCCCTTCTGAACTCGTTGCATTTCCTCCCCTGCTGGGACGGGAGACTCTGACCTTGGGACTCCGGCCTTGCACAGTTTCTAGTGCGGGGGTGGCGGGAAAAGTGGCGGAACGGAGCCGCTAGGTGCCCGAGCCACGAGTAAGGGGAGGCCGTGCGACCTGCGCTTCGTTGCATCGCCTACCCTTTGCCGTGCAGCTCCAGTCAGCCTTTGAGGGTGGGGGCTGCACCTGGTCGAGCTTTGCCCCTCCCCAGCTCACTTCGGCTATTTTGCCGTTCAGCCAAGCTGAGAAAAGCCTCTCTTCCTCTCCAGGCAGCCAGTGAGTGGCCTCTGAGAAAGAGGAGGGGGCGCTCTTTATGAGAATCCTAATGAGGTGATTAGCATCCAAAGCAGCTCCAGCTTTCCTGCAGTGTTTGCGGCTCCCACCTCCCTTGTGGCGCCCGGGTGGAAAGTTGGAAGCTTGCTAGCTTTCTGTTGGTTACCCAAATGCTGCAGCATGCGGAGGAGCATTTCCTAACTCTTATTCCCCAACCTGTGATTTGCTTGTCAGACATGCACGTGGATGGCTATTGCACAAGAGTTCTCCAGGCAGTTACTGGTGCCTGCCTTGCTCTTTCATATGCTATTCTTAGTGCTTCATTTTAAGAGATGTGAATGAGGAAGCCAATAAAAAGGAATGCCTTCGTTACATCCTGATTCTTCTCACCCTTTTAATGAGGATGTATGTTGATTCCTTTGGCTTTTTAGGACAGCAGCCGTATAGCCAAATCCTAAACCTAATCCTAAACTTTGAAATTAAACCAACTTGTTTTGAGACATGGACTTCTTAGTAGGACTGACCCTGGTAAACACCAATGAATTCAGTGGGACCTTCATGAGTGAAGCACAAAAGTTCCAGAGGTGCTTTTTAGCATTATGTGAAAAATGTTTGTATAATTCCTTCCCCCCTCACCACCATCTTTGAATTTCATCCTCTACACTGGAATACCATGAAAAGCAGAGGCTTGAGGAAGTAATACCTACTAACCTGTATTAATCCCTGTGATCTGGTATTGCATCTTGGTTGCCTTGCCTGCTGTAGATTCCTTCTTTTGCATTTCTGCACTAAACATGCAGCCCTGCCTGAATCAGAAGTCCTGCTGTGTTCAGTGGAGCTTATTCCCAAAGAAGTACGCATGGGATTGCAGCCTTCATCTTGTTTTCATGCTTAGCCAGAATGATAAAAGCTATCCACCCCCACTTTCCTTTACAGCAGTGTTGAAGCAGAGGTTTCCTAATTGCATTTCTATTGATTTTTATGTTTCTTCAGGGAGAGGCAGGAACAACTTATGGGATACCGCAAACGAGGACCAAAACCAAAGCCACTGGTAGTTCAGGTAAATTCAGTCAATCCTCTTGTTGTCCTTTTCCTCTAAATGAGATGGGAGAATAAATGAGAAAACTGTGAGTCTTGAAGTGGAACTCTTGCTGAACAGGCTGGTTTTTAAAGAAGGCTTTCTTATTGAGTGGTGTGTTTTTGTTTAACAATAAATCTCCACTTTTTTGTCTGATACCTGTCCCTGGGGAGGATTTCATCTTGATTTCATCATGCTCTGGGAGACTGTGTGTGTGTGGGGGGGTGTACACTGGTGCATACATACACACACACCCTTGTTAATTGCAAATGCTAGAAAAGGAGTCCAGTTCTGCCACACTTTCTCCCTTGCAGTCAGCCAGCTAATCAAGGTGTTTCTTGGACTACATCTGTAGAATATACTGACATGGCACAGCAAATTTAGGACTATGTCTTGGATGCCCATGAGCAAGACTTGTGCATCCAAAAGAGTTCTCTTGGCAGGTGGCTTGAAACAGCAGAATAAAGATGGTGGCTCTCATGTAAAGCTTGCAGCCTCTCTTGAGGTGCTGCTCAGACTGTGAAATACAGTTGCTGGTTAGGGGGTGGAGGTTAGTAATGCCAAAGCCTGTGCCTTGGCAAGCAGGAGGTAATGGGAAGCAAGGTGCAGCTTGCAGCCATTTTTTTCCATCCATTTCTGGAGGTTCCTTTTTGTGGTGCTCCCTGCACATTTCTCAGGCGTTCTTTTGCCCTAGCTCTCAAAAGGACTTGCTGGAAAGGATGTCTTACCACTTTGAATTTCATGAGGTGAAACTATGAGGAAGGCCAGAATAAGTGGGATTAAGGGCTAGCATTAGGAAGCATCCCTGACTAAAGTTTGCTGCAGAAGTTCTCTGTGTGCTATGGGAGCATGCTTGGGTCTGCTTTAATCAGCTCCGTAAGCTGTGCCAACCTTTCTTCTTCTGAAATCCTTAACGGAACTTTTCTCCCACTCCTTCCAGTTGCCATCTTTTGCACGCCGCTCTAACATCCTCACCGGCCTCCAGGACCCTGCTGTGGAGAACAGGCCCAAGCTGGATCTTGGCAGCTCAGGCAAAAGCCAGCAGCATCAATATGAACTGAACAGCAAGAAGCACCACCAGTACCAGCCAAACAGCAAGGAGAGCAATGTCAAGCACCAGTCGCACAGCAAGGGGAAGTACTACTACCAGCTGAACAGCAAGAAGCACCACCACTATCAGCCTGATCCCAAGATGTATGAGCCCCACTACCAGCCGAGCAGCAAGGAGCCGCAGCAAGGACAGGCCTGCTTGGACCACAGCAAAAGCCCGCTGATGTCCCAGTCAGACAAGTGGTCTCATGACTCGGCCAAACGCCTGCTGAACCCAGTCAAGAATCTGGGTGGCATCGAAGCAAAGAATGGGTCAGAGAAGAACCTCTCCAGTGGCACAGGCCCGCCGCCACCCCCTCCCCGGGATGGCATGGCCAGCAATGGCATTGGGGGCAAAATGAAGATAGTTAAAAATAAGAACAAGAATGGCCGCATTGTGATCGTCATGAGCAAGTACATGGAGAACGGCATGCAGGCCGTGAAGATCAAGTCTGGAGAGCCGCCCAAGAAGCGAGTGGTTGAGGACAGGACTACTAAGAAAGGGTCTGAGGAGAGGCAGGAGGTGTGGAAAAAGCCTGGCGAAGAGAGGTGGCCAGGCGGTGATCCCAAAGGGAAGTCTGGGGCTGAGGCCAGTCCGGCTCCTGCTGAGCTTGCAGTCAGCCCTCCAAAGACAACCTCCCTGGACAAAGGGCTGCCCGTTCTCGAGCCGCAGCCTCTGCAGCTCACCACCAAGCCCGACCGGGTTGCATGGGCCCTGGACGCCAGCCCGCAGGACCACAGCCCAGCCACCATGGGACTGAACTTGCCCCCCAGCTGCGGGCCCCCCCGGAAGCGCTGCCTCTCTGAGCCCCACAGGGACAAGGAGAGTGTCAAAAAGCGCCTCACCTCCCGGAGCATCAGCGCCCCCACCTGCCTGAGCCCTTCCACCCCGGAGAGGCCTGAGCCCCCGGCAGCCCTTCCCGCCTCGCAGCCTGAGGTCATCCTGCTGGACTCTGACCTGGATGAGCCCATAGACTTGCGCTGTGCCAAGGCCCGGGGCGACGGTGAGCCTGGCCTGGTGCAGGTGAAGCCAGAGACTCTGCCCGTGCCAGCAGACAAACTGGCCTCTGAGCCTCCGAAACAGGTTGAACACTTTGAGGTGGAGCCAGAGGAAGAGGAGGAGGAGGAACCCCTGCAGGAGTTCAAGCCTTTCTTTGGGAATATAATAATTACAGATGTGACGGCAAACTGCCTGACTGTGACCTTTAAGGAGTATGTCACGGTGTGAGGAGGCTCTGGCTCAGGCTGCCGGCACGCTCCGGGGCAGCCTGGCGCCCTCCTCTAAGGTATTGTTCTCCCCAGAGTAACTCCATGGCACCATGTGCAGGGCAGGTCCTGCTGCGATCCATTGGACACCTCCTGCCCAGAAGGAGAGGGGGGCGGGCGGGCGGGTGGGTGGGCGTAGAGATGATGCTTGCTAGAGGGGCTCCTTCTGCACCAGTGGGTTCCTGCAATCCTGTCTCTGCCCCCCAGGGGTCTTGGGCATCGGGAGGTGGTGAGGGTGGGGATGCCCTGCTAACTCACGGGAGAGTCACATAGTATTATATTTTAACAGTGCTAACTTGTTGAGTGGTTCTTGCTCCCGTTTGTATGTGGTGTTGCTGAAAATGTATTGTTGGAGCTGAAGGCGGGCCTTGCCAGGAAGGCCGGCAATTATATTTATTTGTAGGTATTTATATAATGAAATATAAAAAGCCTAGATTTATGGAGTTCCCTAGATTGCCCTATATATATATAATTATATTAAATACATATATATTATATATATATATAAAGCTATATCAGAATATTTTCTTTTCTTCCCTTTTTAAAAGCTACTTCTGCTTTTGTTTTCCTTGCCCTTTTCAGAAAACCGCAGGACCATCCCTTCCTCTCGTATATATTTTTTGATACTGTTAACACATGTTGTTTTTGATGTGCAAAAATTAATAATCATTATCTAAAGCTAAACAAGCTATTATAGAAACTGCTGCTACTAGAGATGTCTAAACTATAAGCTTCCAATTATTATGAATTGCTTGAATGTAAATATTAAATGGAGATGTTGAAAGTGCATTTGATGTTCTGCAGCTAGCCTGGGTCTGGCTTGCAAAGGCTAGCTGCAAAAATGGTGGGGCCTTGGCACCTGATGGACACGCGTTTGTCTTTGGGGGCTGGATGGTGGAGGAAGGATAACTGTGTGTCATTGCAAAGGACTATAAAACTTTCCAAAAGCAACGGGAGGTTCCGAGTGCCTTTCTTGCAGCTTTGGTGCTTTTGGGGCCTGGTGTTGCACATACGGCCTGAACAGACGTTACGTTATTCTGGGTCACCTGTCCTAATGTGCAGGGAGCCCTTTGGATGTGCAGATTCTTCACTGGTGCCACAGGTTGGATTGGATGACCTCTGAAGTTCTCTTACAGCCAGGAGCTGGAGTCCCTCGGAAGAAGCGCTTGTTCATGCAGAACAAGTTTCTGTTCTGCCTTAGTTCTGTGATGATTTCTTAAATGGGGCAGAACAGAGGGAGGTACCAAATACATTCATGCCTAAGATATGCATGATAGTCAAACTTGTTTGTACCTAGTTAGACGAGCAGATTTATGTGGCAGAGGCTACTGACTCAGTACCCAACCAGCACAGGAATACTAAAACAGTGTTGCTTTGTTTTAAAGTCAGGTACCACTTCTTAAGGAATTCTGAGTATAATGAATCATTCTGCTAAAATGCACAACAGTAGAAGCTGTGTGTCCCTGTATGTCTCAGCTTTTTGCATATGAAATCCAATCCTTAAGGGACAGAATACCCAGTTGAAGAGTTCTGTGAGTGGGCTCAGTGCTCTCCAGCTTCAGCTGCGGTTTGTGCCAAATCTTAACCCAACCTAGATGAGTTTTGACCAGTTACCTAACCAGTGATCCAATAACAGTCACTGAAGGGCTTACTATTCAACCACCAGGATTACTTTCTGCCTTATCATGGTGCCAGAGAGCACGGAAAAGCTAGTGGACTGTTTCTGCTTTCTGTGAAGGTGACCTGGAATGTAGATTGCCAGATTGGTGTCAAAAAAGCACTGCCAAGCTGTGGTTAATGATGACTGTGTTGACCATGTGGTTCTGGGAAGCTGCGGTTTCAGAAATAAGTCATGATCCTAGAAATAAAGGATGTTCCTGCAGAGCATGGTTTTCTTTGAAAAGATTATATGCCCTGTACCATGTCAAGCCATCAGTCCATCTGGTTCAGAATCACCCATGCTGGCTAGCAGCCGCTTTCCAAGTTCTGGCTGGAAATCTTAACAGCTGCAAGGGGTTGAACCTAGGACCTTCTGGCTGGCGCGCATGTCCATTCTGCCCCTGTGCTAGGATGTTTGGAACCCCCTGTAAGCTGCCGTGAGCTCTATGAAGAGCAGGGGATGCGTAAAATACTGATCTGGGCTGCGAACAAGTTTTGATTACTGTTGTTGGAGTAGCATATACTACTCCTCTCCTGTAGGAGAAAAGGGGATAGTCTTGGGAGACTTTGGTTCCAAGTAAGATCCAAAAGTTGAATATTCAACTATAAATGGTGGTGGTGGTGGTGGTGGTAAAGGAGAAAAGGCAGCTGGTGCCTGGGGCATCTTTTCACCCCTGCCTTAAAGCACAGTGGTCCCTTTTTTAGATCAGACATGTTTTAAGATGGACTTCCATTGTTGCTTTGTGAACATTACTTTATGCAGTAATACTTAGTCTTTTTTGGGTAGGCAAAAATGCAGAAGACTAAGGAAGAGGTCAATCTTTTCCTGCCTCTGATAAGGCTGCATGCATTTCACTTTTGCCAGCCCTCTGAGAAACCACTGAGGAGTTCAGACAAATTGCAACATGGAACAGCAGCTCATGGCAGCTGAGCAAAAATCCCTGTGTCTCTCTGTCTCTGTGTCTGTATGTGTGTGTGCGCGCAAATGTGAATGCTTAACACCTTTCAAGTTTGCATAGTGGCAATACCACTGTGAGCAGTGCTTTATTTGATGTGTGGAAATGCTAAAAGGGAAAACAAATCCTAAAAGCTGGATGTTTATTTTCTGCAAGGACACAAATTTTAGGCTCAATCCTATACAAATTCAAACAGGGAAACAGTCTTACAGTTGCCATGTCAAGGGATGCTGGTAGTTGTAGAACTGTTTTCATCTCGGTGTCCTCAAGATTGCACTTGTAATATTTTTGATGTGTTTTCTTCATGCAACTGATATTTTGCTAAATATAAATTATTTGTGATGTTGGAGCTGCATTTGGGCTGTTGCAGTCACAATAAGATTCTATGCATGTCTGTAGAAGTAAACCCCATTGAGTTAAATGGACTTACCTCCAGGCAAGTGTGTGTAGAATTACAGCCTAGAAGTCTCAGCATTGAAAGCATACCTGGTTTCTTTCAATGAAAAATGGTAGATATTTGGACAGAAAATCTTGCAAAAATGTTTACTTTTTAAAAGTGGAAATGCTGTGTCCTGACCTTTCACCTCACCTATTACTTATGAACCTATACATTTATTCCGGTGTTAACCATTAACTTTGGTTGAACCTCTGAATATCAGGCTCAAGTGTTGTGTTCAGTTTTGTCTTTAAAAGACAAACAGACAAACCTGATCTTTGTCTACTGCCCCTCCTCTAACAAAACAGTAACAGGAAAAAGTACAGTGTTGGCTGAAGTGGATTTCTCTTCTAGGTAGCCGTGTGAACAAGTGCTCTCGTGTTGTCCTCTTAGAGAGGACATTAGATTTTTCAAAGTAGAAAAATGTATCAAGGAACAATATAAAGCTGGTTGGGGTTCATAGCATAGCCTCTGAACCACACTTCCTGTATCACAAACACGTCAGTGGTTAGGAGATGAATCTTCCTGTTTCTCTAGTAACTTAATTATATTTAATAACTTTAATCATTGGTGGTTAGCAGTTTGTGCAAAATGCATTATCACCAGTATACCGAAAACAGCTTAATTGGATCTTCTTTCCAGGTCTCGCCAAGCCCTTGCTTCGTGCCGGTGCCCCCGCCACGCAGCCTTCCCCTGCTCATGTAACCTATTGCCCTGGGTAGAGAAGCGCCAAAGCACACAGCTTTTTGGCAGAGCCTGTGTGGGTGTTTTGAGGAAAGCCACTTCCTGCTTGCCATATCTTGCATTAAAATACACAAGCATCTGGCTGGCATCTTCAGGTGCAACTGATTTAGCAAGTCGGCAAAGCGGATGGGCCCATCCACTTTTCAAATCATGGGGAAAGGGGGTATTTTTAGCGTGTGATGTTTGCTACTGAGCTTTACTTGGCAGTAGCTAGAGTTTAGTGACTGTGTAGAAATGGTTGTACATGTTTCTGTAGCAAGTGACTTGCGTAATTTAGGTTGCCAGTATGGTAGATGGCCGGGCTTGATGGGCCCCAGCTGGCATGTGGGCTGGATTGGAAGGCTGAACAGTAGGTTGGATATAGAGTTAAGTCAAGTTTAGAGTAGACCCATTGGTGAGATTTAGAATTAAGCCATGCTTAGCTTGTCCCACTGATTTTACTGGGCCTACACTAGCCATTAGTAAGTCTGGAACTGTTTTTAGCCTGCCCTTTTAGAGAACTGAAAGGTGGCTTCCACTAACATACTTGGGTCTTCCTATGAGAAGGTCAGAGAAGTTTAAACTGGGGCTTTTGGTTTCTTCCACAAGCACTGACTATGTTCTGAGGTCTAATGCTCTGGGCCTGCATGTGCATCATCTTAGCAAGCATACTTCTAGTAATGCATAGATCAACTGTGAGTGAATCCTAACGCAATCCCATTGTAGATGGAAGCACGTGTGCTTTCACTGTTTAAGACAGGTTGGGGCTTCTGTGACTTTTGACACAGGCAGGAATGGTCCTGGTATTGAAGCAAAAGCACTGAGAATCAGAGGTGTGTTTGTGCACAGCAGTTGTATGCTGGCACAAGGGGTGGATGGTGGCCCCAGTGAAATACAGCCTGTCTCCCCTTCCATCTGCAGGTGACATAAGTCAAAAGACCGGTGTTAGAAATCCCCAGAATGTATGGAGCAGAAACCTCCACTGTCAATGTTCAAATGTAGCTCAAACAACTATAAAATCATAGTAATATACTTGATTGCAGCCCCCTAGTTATCTCTCTGCATGGCCTTACCCACTCACTTGATTGCCTTCTCTCTGAAGGGACTACCTATGCAACACAAGAAGGAAGAAGTCAGCCATGCTGCTGTTGGGCAGCTGCTTGGGGCTGCTTTCAGTGGGTTGGCCATCTTTCTTTTCCCAGCTGTGTGATGAAAACAGAAGTGGAAGCCAAGGACATTGCTCTCTGGTCTCTGGCTCTCAATTTTGGCACTTCTTTGCTCCCTTCCAAGTGAAAATATTAGCTGATCTGTCCAAGCACATTTATTCCTACAAATAAT